AACCAGTCGCTGGCCCTTTGAAAGACCCGCCGCGCCTGATAGGCCGAAGGTGTCGCGGCTAAACTATCAGTGGAAAATGTTTAGACACGGAAGACATGAATCCGGGCGAGCAGTTCAGGATGTCTCCCCTGGGCAGTACCATAGTGTAGATCGACTTGACCCTTATCATGAGCGCCACGCTCGTTGATGGAGAGATGAGACAATGCTCAGCAGCAACAGAATGGACGCCAAGGACGGTCAAATTCGGAGCCAAACTCGGAGTGAGGCACGTCAAACTGGTTCTGGCAATGTTTCAACCATGGAGGACATGATACAGCGCCTAGCAAATTCAATAACATCCGCCATTCACAGCCACCCTGGATGTGATCTATCAGGCGACACTCAGCAAAGACCCAGGAGATTCAAGGGGAGCTTCAGCAACATAAAGACCCGCATCTATGTGCACTGGGGCTAGGTTCCATCCTGCCACTCTGGTCATCTTGCAGGTGATATCCACAGCGATTATATTGATCAACCAAAGGTTGGGCATTGCCAGCAATAGCATTCTTGCGGCATGAAAATCATCAACACTTGCTATCCTATCACACGACCTTGATGAGAACTTGTGGGAGGCTGCTGGCAGTTTGGATAAAGTCAAAGATATGGGCAAGTTCGTCAAAAGGGTGAAGAACAGCTAGGATCCGACGATCGCTCAAAGGACAAAGGTTGGGGGTTTCCACGAAGGTAACGTCCGATTTGATATAGATGAACTAGATGATGCAGTTGAGACTGGGAGGGTGCCCACCACCGGCTGCAATATCTTACCATGGGTTGAATGTTGGCGAACATGAGAAGACCACATTCCTCAAGGTATGGGGCAGAATTGAGACTCCTGACCACGAGGTTCTGTCCAGTGGCGGAGCGTATCTAACCAATGAGAGAGGTTATCTGACAGACAACCTTGAAGATGGCAATGGTAAAATCCCCACATGCAGCAATCAGGGCACGACCAGTCCTCTTGCACTGGTCGAGGCAAGTCTCAGAACTAATTTACTGGATGCGGAGGCTTTTTGAGTTCCAGTTGTGCGTGTAAGAGTGCATTTCATACACGTTGTGAAGCGAGTACGCTGGAATTCGACGCCCCGTAATGGTCGTAGATGATAGACACACACCGACTGGCGCACTGCGATATTCGAGTTGGAGGTTTTCAGTGCACCCTGGTGATTATTCTGGAATAAATTGACAAATAGTATCATGGTGCGAACAGGAGGGGATGCCAGCAGGTAGGCGTATGAGGAACACGAGAACATCTTTCACGGCGAAGAAGAATGCCCGGGCCCATGGATTTGTAATGAATAGACAGGGGGAAAAGTCAACCGACTTCAAGACGGCTCCACGGATGGGTACATTTCACGATGGTTGGGGGATTGACCAGAATGTCGGCTGAGTACCCGGGATCTACGACTTTGCCTGCCCCGTGTTCAGTCACAGGCTTGCCTTTTGCCAGAGCTGACGGCGACAGCACATCTTTTGCTGGCTGAAGATGGTTGCAGGAGGAACGAAGACTGAATAAACTTAATTGCTTGCTGTACGGAACAAGATAATGTGTTTCATCCTCCTGCTACGTATCGCCTTCTTGCCCGTCCGGAAAACAACAATGCCTATTGCTCATGATCATATTCCACTGCCCCCAAACCAAACTCATGGGGTCTTCCTGTTAAGCCCTGGACTCTTGGTCATGCGGCAACAGCCAAGCATCGTTACGTTCGGCATTACTGCGACTGCGTTGAGGGAATTGCCAGTTCCGCAACTCCTCGCCAGATGGCCTTGCAATGGGTCCAGAGGTGTATCGCGGGCTCTCCGGGTTAGGCGCTTCATCCCGCAGGTGCCCTCTTCTTTGACATAATACTTCGTTGCCTATCCTTAGACTTCAAATAAACTGCAGCTCAGTCACAGTGAGACTCCTCCACGGAGTTCTTCCATTCTTCGATAATTTCCCTGGTCAGACAACTTGCAGCACGTCCACTCCGGCTTGTTGTAGCCAACAAAGTCCACCAAATATTTCATCTGACCATGCTGGGAGCCGCGACGGTTCGTCTTTCTCTCGGCCAGGATGCGGCTAACTGTGAAGGGGCCAAGAATTGGGTCGAGCCCAAGGAGCCGTGTTCTATTGTTGCGGCCGTTCGGCGTTCAAAAACGGTTCACAAGATGACGAGCGGTCACCCAGACATCTTCTTCGGGCTCCCAAGTCGGCTCATGGTGCAGCCAGGGACCTCCCCAGCGAACAAGCAGGTCCACTTGCATCCCGGTATTTCTGTAGCCCAGAATACTATCAACGGGATATTGGTCGTCGGTCCATGGTTGTTCATCAGCGGCCAGCTTGCCGGGGGCCTCAGCAACGTCCTCTTGGTGGGGATTGTTGATGGAACGGTGTGCGATGGCACGGCCTTTCTTTTTGTCGGGAGAGGCGGACTTGTGGGAGTTTGCCTGCATCGTCTGACTGTCCAGGGTACTGGCTTCGACTGTCTCTGGCTTTTGGTCGCCATCGCTCGTACCGTGGGCTTGGGCTGGCGCTTGGGCTGGATCCATGCCGGCACCCGGCATGAGGAGTCGTGGGCCCGAATTCAGCGTCATCGTCGCAATGGCGGTGGCCATCGAAGTGGGGGAATCGATTGACGATCCGTCGACAGCCTCAGTGCTGGAAGTCGGTGAGACGGGTATGTCGGTCTCGCTATCGGGCATGATTTCGAATTGGTAATGGCCGAAAGTTGTGGCAGTGTCGGGGTCGCTCCGGGGAACGCAAACTTCCAAGGTCAGACGGCGCTCAAATTGAGTTGGTCGGATTGTCGATAGCGCCTTGAACGTCGATGGAGGACGGTGGTTGGGACGAGGAGAAGTTTCCAGGTCGTCGAGCAAGTGGATGGAGGATGTGTCTTGGACTGCCTGGCTGGTCATTGCCTCGGGTGATGATTGCCCGACCGAATCAAACACATGGCAACCGCAGTAGCGCATTAGTCGGTCTTGCCGAGCCATGGCTTCGATGTTAACTGTGTGTGGAGGAAAGAAGGGCCCTCGTGCTTCCGTGGTCATACATGAATTCACACATGATGCCACCACGAGTTGGAGCCTTCTCATTTCGGGAAGTGTCCTGTCCATACTTGGAATCAACGCATCCGGCACACATACCATCGTGAACCAAACAGCAGCCAGGGATATATGTGACCAACAAGAATGGCATTGGGTAATTTCTGATTTTGAAGCAGGGCTGCTGCATGCTGATTGGGCAGCTCGATGCCTGGGCTGACAACCAACTCGCCGGGAGCCGGTCCCATGCATGGCCGTGACCGAGCCGGAACGGACCTGGGAGGTGAGCTACACCGTCTACGAACCCAACAGAACTTTTTTTTTTTTTTTTTTTCCTCCTACGCAGGCTGATGAGCAGGCACGTTCCAGCCAACGAAGTGAAACCATTGGATAGCATCAGGGAACTGCCGTCAACCGTCGTCGCGGACGGATAGAGGTGAGAGCACGTCGGATGCACTTGAAGAGCTCACCATAAAATGGGCCCGGTAAACCTTGCGACTAAGGTACTTGCATTGACGCTCCTGAATGGGCATCAAATCGTAAATCAATTGCTAGGAGCCACTTGGATGAGGTGAAAAGGTTGCAGCGGCGCGGTAGCTTCTGCGCGCTGTGAGCTTCTTTCAGTGGGTGCCTGAAAACTCCCACTGGTGTGAGAGGTTTTGGAAAGCACGTAGCAGTTGCTAGTAGGTGGAGCCTTTGGGTAGGAGCTTTTGGAAGGCAGTTGTCTGCTTCTCACTTTGGTGGAGCAGCTGGCATGACCTCACCGCCCTCACCGGGCTCACCGGGCTCACCGGGCTCACCATCGCTCGCCGACAGCCACCGGGCTCACCGAGCATCCACTCTGCACCGCACCATGACACTCGTGTCTTCGCGTCTGCAGCTGCGAAGCGCATGTCACCTGAATTCTCTCGTCTGAACCAACATCAACATGGCGAGAATCCTGGATGCACATAGTTTTGCTGAGGGGCTCGTGTTCTTCCAGTTGTCTGCATCCAGTTGTCTGCGGCCGGTTGTCTGGGCCAGTGGGAGCTTTCTGAGTACCTAGGTATCTAGGCGCTAGAAGGCCCGTCCGGGACGCGGGTCGGGGAAGTTTCCTTTGCAGCGGCAGACAACTGCCTTGGCTGCAGACAACTGCCTTCCCAAAGCTCCGACTCCTTCCCAAGACCCACTTCTTGAGTCCTTCTCACAAGCTCCCATTGCAGTGGGGGTTTTGGGACACTCACTGAGAAAACCTCCCACTGAAATAAAAGCAGAGTGCGATCCACGGGTGTCTTTGCTTCATCTGTTTAGAATGCGCCAAATCGAACACGGCCCGGACCTAGCAAAGGACAACCGCAGCACGCCCGCGCCGTCTCCACCCCTGCGGTGGGAAGGCAGGTTTATTCCATCACATGAGGTGTTGTTGCGCGACTACCCCGGCTCCATATTAGGGCTTCTCCTTGCTGGGCGCATTCTTCAGGCGTCTCCTCCAGCCGCAAGAGCCAACAGGGAGGGGGACTCCATCCAGACACTGGACGGAAGCGACAGCACCTGTCAATCAGGCCAGGATCGCGTCTCCGTACCAGGCTGCGTATTCCAATCTCAGAGCAAATGTCACTCATCACAACAGACCGTGGCCAACAACAGTAATGATTAGCATGCGGGCCTCGTACCAGCCCCAACATGCCGGGGTTTTATTCGCGCGCGGAAGTGCCCGTGTCCACAAAGACAGCGAAGAAAAGCATGGGTTGATATGCACGTTGGTGCGGGATAGCAACGCCGCATCCGCCGAAAAGAGGGGACCCCCGGTGGCAGGGACCATTTTCGCAGCGCCCACAGTATATCCATCAGTCGACCCTCGGTTGTTTTTCTGTCACTTTCTGCTCTCGTTTTCTCTTCTCTTCCTGTATGCTGCGGAGATATTGAATTTGTTCGGCAACTCCACACCAAAAGTCAGCATGTGTCGACAACCGGCGAATTTTGCAGAGGAGGTTGCTGTTGATGATGCTGTATGTCAACGTGCCTGAACGCTTCTAATCATGGCTGATTTCTAACTTGGCTCAGCAGCAAGATGACACTCGCTCTGAGATGGGAGCTGTGAGTCGAATTTTGGACACTTGACAGCCGTGGCTACTGACCTTTTGCGGCACAGAGCATTGCCTCGTCTAGCACCAGTCTTCTCAGCTCCCTGTTAGAGCATCGTCGCGAGAATGGCCGGACCTACCATCGGTACAAGGAAGGCAGTAAGTTCGGACAAAGAACCCTGTTGGGATAAATCACTGAAAAGTCCCCCCAGAATACAACATGCCGAATGATGAGCAGGAGCTCGACAGACTTGGTAATTGCTCCCTTACGTTTCTAATCCAAAACACAAACGATTACTGACAACGGCCCTAGACTTGATCCATAACATGTGTCTCATGTCCCTGGACGACAGGCTTGGTCTCGCTCCACAGTGTCAGGAGGGTGCAACAGTTGGTCGTGTCCTTGATGTTGGCACGGGCACAGGTATCTGGGCTATTGACTTCGGAGACGAACATCCGGAGGCCGAAGTCCTGGGTGTCGATCTCTCCGCCACTCAACCTGGCCAGTAAGCTTGACCTGACGCGACTTTTTCCGGGTATGCCATTCACTGACGATGACTCGCAAGTGTGCCTCCTAACGTCCGGTTTGAGGTCGACGACATAGAAGACGAGTGGACATTCTCACGGCCTTTTGAGTATATCCATAGTCGCTACATGACGTCCAGCATCAGCGACTGGCCAAAGTTTCTCCGGAAATGCTACGAGTAAGATCCCTTGCCCCCTTGACTCGAGAATCGGCTACTTCTCCTCGGGGACATGAGATGAAGTGGTGACGATGACCGCTGAATTGTTGAGCAGCAACCTCGAGCCCGGCGGTTCCCTTGAACTTCACGAGACGGATATCTACACCCGATCCGACGACGGATCTCTGAAGCCGGAGCATGCTCTCTACAAGTGGGCCCAGTTCCTCATGGAATCGTCGACCAAGTTGGGCGCAGCGTGGATTGACCCCCCTAAGCTCAAGGACCTCATGATTGAGGCTGGGTTCGAGGGCGTGAGTATGAGCACGTACAAGTGGCCGACGAACACATGGCCCAAGGACAAGAAGTTCAAGGAACTTGGTATGTGGAACCACGAGAACTTTATGCAGGGTATTGAGGGAATGTCTATTGCCCCTTTCACCCGCGCCTTGAACTGGACCCCGGAGGAAGTGGCGGTCTTCCTGATTGATGTCCGTAAGGATGGCAAGGACCACAGTATCCATGCATACTGGCCTCAGTAAGTCTCAAGTGGAAAACCCGTTTAATGTAGTGATTTTTAATTAACAGGTTTAGGTACATCTTTGTTGGTCGAAAGCCCGAGAAGGCCAAAGAGACTCCAGCGCCGGCGGCAGTGTGAAGCCAGCGGGTGAGGGGATGGTATTTTCCACGAGAAAAGTTTGATGTCTCTTTTCGTAAAGAAGTCGCATTTGCATCGTAAGATCTAGCAGAAATGCGCAAATCTTCCTATCTTGAGCATGGTCGTAGTGGTGTCAGATGCTTCCAACCTTTTCATCGGCATCGCAGTTGAATGCGATTCCACCGTTAGCGCAGCCCACTGCCCTGCCGGGCCGTTCCGTCCGCCAGACGGAGGTTATCTGGCCAATGAGAGAGGTTGTGTGACACACAAGCTCTGTCATTGGTCCGACCAGCTCCGCCAGAAACCTCAACAGCACCGTGCACCCCGCCTGGGCAGTCATTATGAACCCCGCTTGACCCCAATTCCGCCAACAGCACAAAACCCGCCCTTTTCTTGCGGCTTCACGACCCGTCGACTGCATCTTGGACACCAACAACGGCGGCGCCGTTCGATGCACCACGAGCACAAGGCCACAGTCTGACGAGGACCTCCCCTGATGTCCCTTGGAAACCCGCCCGACCGCGTGACCAGTCTCCCCCGACTCTTCCGCGAGACACCCTGCAGCCCTGGTGGCACTGTAAATTGGATGATGTCCTGAGCATACTTACACTGCGACTCTCTGAGGTTGAAGAAGATCTAGGCTACAGCGTTCTGTGCAGCTGTGACGGCGTCCGGCTGCGCCCCGCCGACTCAGAGCCGCTACCTACAGATGTAAGCAGCTGAAAGTCCGCTACCTAAAGCCTGTAGGTAGCTAAAAGTCTGCTTCTTATAGCGCTATAGGTAGCTAAAAGTCTGCTACCTATAGCGTGTGGGTAGCTGAAAGTCAGCTACCAACACCGAGAACCCACACTCCGTCCACCAAGCCACGCTGAGGTCTAAGCAGCCACAATCAGCGCCTGTTATCCAAGATGTCGGCTTTGCTCAGATTCGCCTGCACGATGTTGCGCTAATGTTCGTGAGCCTGGCAAACAGAGAGACCATTCCAGCCTCCGCTAAATGTCCTCTTCGCGATGAATCCAGTTGTTGCCTGGCTTGAAAGGGTCAAGGATCCTCAAGACCCGTCCGAAGTCCTCGAGCTCGACCCGCACGCCTGGTCTTTCACACTGGCGCTCGCCTCCAAGACAAGCGATCTCGAGGCGCAGGCCGGAGTCGAGGGCATTGTCCCCGACCTACTCCTGCTTTCCCCCTTACCTGGAATGAGGAAAAGCCCAGACCGACTCCTTGAGTGGGCGCCCGCTGGGATTGCCTCAGGTTGTCACACATACAGCAACCTACAAACGGAAGGCGTGGGCATGGACGCGTGAAGTGCTTGTCTCGTTTGTAGCAGCACCTGCCTTTGCCGCACAGAAGCAGCCACGCTGTGCGGCTCAGACGCAGCAATTTTAAGGTAGGTGCCTCCCAAGCCATACTTCACCTCCTTTGAGCCTCAATTACTGTTCTATCACAACCACCTCGCAAACCTCTCTCCGCCCGCTCGCCCGTCCCAACCCCGAAACCGAATGCCTCAGGTCTGCTGTGCGTTTGAATGCATCACCTGCCAAGTCCTGCCATCGCTAACTCTTCTCTTCCATCTAGACCAAGCGGCGTCAACGAAGAACCCGATCCAGAGCCCCAGCAAGCCCGTCCCATCCGCAAGAACCCTCTCTTCCACCTCGATCTGCTTCTCACTACTTCTTGCTGGCGTAATTTCCTCTCCACCTCCTCAGACGGTGACATCGAATCGAATACAAGACAATGGCGAAGATAACGGCCAGGTTGACGATTCTGGCGACGAGCACCGCCATGATCTCGTGCACCTCGCTCTCCACCAGCAGACTTCGCCCAGTCCCTCGAGTCGGACCTGAACGCTGACCGCTGATACCGCGCGTCGCCATGAGTCCCTATTCCTGCTCGCAGCTCGTCCCCCAGTACCTCTGTCGCTCAAGGCTTCAGCACCCCTCCAACGACACCCACGAGATCGAATCTCAATTGTCGTCAACCTGCATACCAGACCCGCAAGCAGGCGTTGCATGGAGTCTAAAAGAGGCGGCGAACGAGCGTACCTTTGTCGTGCTGAAGCTGCTGCTTCTCGAGGCCATCGGCATGATGCTCGACCACTTCACGTCACCTACCCGTCGAGAGCATCTGATCACACTGTCGCGTCGCCCAGCCGCAATACGCCATCGCCTTCTCCAACACCGCCCAATCTATCGACCTCTACTGCAGGGTCATCTCCCTACAGCACCACCGTCTGTTCTTGTACCCTCCCCTTGCCAATGCCCTCGACCGCATCCAGATCCTGTTCCACCTCGACCCCGTCATCCGCGAGACGTTTTCACAAGTGAATCTACTGCACTATTCTCGGCCACCAGCCCGCCTACCAGCCCGCCATTCCAAAACACCACCCTTACCGCAGCCCCGACCTCAGACTCGGCCTATCCGGCCAGCAACTTGCCTGGCGCTTCCGAAGCATGGCTCCATCCGTTGGTAAGCATGCTAACATCGGCGAAGATCTTCTCAGTCGGCCTGGCTTCCGTCTGACACATGAAGTTGGTCGATTGACGCCCATGTCCCAGTTCCACCGGCGTCCTGATTCTCCATATCCTTCCTTTCCATTCCCCGATTTGCCGTATATCCCGGATGCAGCCGCATGCTTCGAGTATGCTTCTTAGGGCCGATGATGCCCCCGCTGCCTGAATTGCTTGATGACGAGCGCAGTCCATTTGTGACTGTCTGCTGCCGATGCGTCAATGATGCCGACGCCGATCCCGATGCCAGCAAAGAAAGTTGCACTCCGCTCTGCTTCTCCTCTGGCTTGAGCCGAACATTCTGCTTGTTCGGCCAACATCAGTCAACTTGCTTCTGATGACAGCCCCCCATGACGTTTCTCCTGGCCTATGGTTCTGCTCTGTCTGGCTGGCGTTCTGAAAATCCACGACGCATCTGTTGATGCTGCTGGTTCTCCTCTTTTCCCTGGTCTCAGGGCATTCATCGAACGCAGCAAGTGTCTTCGCCTCGACGCATTATCTCGTCAAAACTACTGCCCTTACTGTTGGCCCATCTTGCCTCCACTTGGATAAGAGCATCATTTCGCCTGTGACAAGCAGACAGGCTTTGCCGGCCGGGCAATCATCACGGTGTCCGCAGCGTCCCCCCAGCCCGACGCCATTTCCTGTCGTGTGCCAATGAGAGAAGGTTGAGGATCGAAGTTGCGCGGCGTTTCCACGTATTGGAAGCTGTGCTCTACCTAAGCATCTCGGCAGACATTGAGGCTTGCGAAAACGCATGCCGTAGCACGCAGGGCAAACAAATGGGCGCTCTGAATTGCAATTCGGTTGCGAAGCCGCCGCCAAAGAGACAACCGCTCTCTGCGGAACTTATGAGAGGCGGCCGCATCCTTCGAAAATAACGGTAACGCGAGCACGACGACTATGGTCGCCACAGGCGCAGTGGTGGTGGAAGCCGGGTCCGCCGAGATGAAACCAAGCCTCCGTTGCCAACGCCCAGTCGCTTCCTCAGCAATTCGCTTTCAGTCTAAAAGTCCTGCCCAATGGTATGAGCTCCTGGACCTGTGTATCCCGACTGTAGTAGTGAGGAAGATGTCGCGGGTGGAGCGAGGTTCATGATCACCAATCTTGCCAGTCTGCATTCGCCGGCTGATGGCTTTGGAAAAGCCGCCGGTATCTCGATATCAGGTTTCTTGACGACAGGACTGGGCTCAATCGGTCTGCCGCCGCTGCCATCATCTTCGGCCGTCAACATCTTTGACGGTCTGGGAAATGGGCCGGCCAACGAATTGCTGGAATTCCTGGTGGAAATGTTTGGAGGCCTTCCCCAGCGGGGGCGAAATGGGATGAGGATGAATGGGACGGGCAAAATGCCAGCGGTAGACATAAAAGTATAAGTATGAGTAATGGAAAGGCGGAAGCCTCGCCACATGGGCTATGCATGCCTTGCACATTTTTCATCCTCCAATCAGAACTATCTCTCAAGCAACCCTCTGCCTTCAGAGTTCTCAACGCCCCGTCCCTGATTTCACTGACGCAGGAAAAGAAATGGCCTGAACAGACCGCTAGTCTGACCAGTCTCAAGACATAGCCAGCTTCCCCTTCAGCATGCTCGCCGGAATGAACGTCGTAACCAGCATTAACAAGCTCGGCGTGTCAGATGAAATCCGCCACGTGTGCGGCTCCGGCCAGATGAGAAGTCCCACCATGGATCAACTCGACAGCAGCTCCAGGCCTCATGACGCGCGCTGTGTGATTACCGGACCGGACTGGATACAGTCTATGTCGATAGACCGCCTGGATTCAGCTTGAGGAGAGGTTAGCGGACAGCTGGCTGAGGGGCGTGATGATGGCCAGGACATTGTCATCTAACGCCTCTGGCCCCGCTCATCGTCCGCTGACGTCGGCGGCAAAGGCGTGCAGGTAGACGGCACAAGAGTTGATGTAGCCAGCAAGAGGCTAATTTTGTCGGTGTATCAGCGTTTCTAGCCGCGTTTCTGTGGGACTTGAGAGTTCCTCAAGCATGCCCGAGGATGAGCATGAGCAAAGCGGGTTTACGCCGGCATAGGCGGCGCTGTCGAGGACGGCGAGCGAGGAGTGCACCGACTGATGATATTTTATGTTACACGGCCGTGTCAGTCACTTCATCGGTGTTGGTGGCTTTGTCTTCTGCTTGGTGAGTGTGGCAGCCCTTTGTTGTGACAAGGTGGAGGGAGATTATGGAAGATAAGTCGCGATGTGTAGTGGATGATTTCGTGGTGGCTATCCTCGCCTTCGTCTCATTCTCCAGCATCAGTGCAACAACCGGCATGACCACACGTGGAGACCGCCCACCTTCATCTTCACCTTCATCTTCGCTCTCACTCTCACTGTCACTCTCACTCTCATTCTCATTCTCACCTTCACCCTCAGCTTCATGTTCATCATTGATATTCATGTTCACAATTTATTTATCTTCATCTTCATCTCGTCCCTGTTCACACTGGTCCTCATTCCCACACCCATTCCCTAGACCATAGAAAGCCGTTATACAGCCCACTAACCTGCGGTGCGGCGTCCTGGAGGCTAGGAAGACTTGTTTAAAGCCGTTGCTGATGCTAAACCGCAACATACCCTCAAGGGTGTTGCGGCTTCTTGAGGTACTTTCGTCAAGCGGTCGGCAAGGGCCCCAGACTCAGTCTCGCTGGATATTTCTTTGGCTGTGTATTTATCAGGCCGCCCTCGCTCTCACTGGGACCTAGACTCCACTATCCTCCTCGAGACGCAAGCCATATCAGCTACACCTGATCGGCAACGGCGCTAAGGGCGCAGCGAGCAACGACGGCAATATCCTTATCAATTTCATAAGAATTAGTTCTCTTTAGGTTCAAGCGCAATTTCAATGGTGAAGTCATCAAATAAAGGCAACAAAACTGACGGACTAACACCACCATCAACGGCGCCAGCAGCAGTCCTCGCAGCAAGGCCGGCAACGTTTACAACCATCTGAGCAATCCCGGGGTACTCACAACATCGTCAAAACGCGACCGAGCATAACGTTTGAGAGCCTTCACTTGCGGTATGTCTCATTAGATGTAGTCGGCTTTCCTTGTCCTGCGAGACATGCGCGCCTTGTGCCGTCTCCTTCCCGCCATTCGATTTTCCACTCCTACTTTAGCTTGTACCCGACGCCTCTCTCTCACGGGCTTACATGCTTGCCGGCTTCCACTTTTCTACCATTTCGCCGCATTATTACTCTTAGATTTTCAGCTGCTCAAATTTCACCCATCCTGTGGCAACTGGACATGTTTTTGCTTCGACTCTGGGTCCGATTCAGGGCGAGAACACGGCCCCACCCTTGTCCGATCCGGTCATCCGGGACGGCTTCTCTTCACACGGACCCACCTTCGGACACAGCTTCGGGCTCGATTCCGGGTCCCTTGTCAGCTCTGGCGTCGCGTTTGATGCCGACCCAGCCGTCCATCTAACACCCCCCAAGCACTACCGCCGCATTAACTACCCCCGAATGCCCTTTGCATACAGCTTGAGGAGAGTTGTCAGTCGAGGCCTTCGCGGATCTTGCCTAATGTTCTGCCGCTTCACTAGCTAACCAACGGCACGGCCGTTAGTAGCGGTAATGCAGCGTCATGTATGAGCATGAGCTCGGCGGAAGTATATGTTGTAGTGCGATGACGTTGAGAAGGCCTGTCTGGGCATCTCCAGGCTTGCAAATCTGAGCTGAGGTCTGTGAGGTGTGACGGGAGTGGATCCAGGACGAAGGAAGGTAAAGTCTGACTTTGTGCTACGAGAGAGGTTTTATTTATGTGTGCGCATGATTATATGCTCCATGGCAAATATGGTTGAGATGACTGTGAATGACGCTTTCGGGCGCAAATCCAATCACAAATCGTCAATTTATTGCGTAAACGCATGCAGAATCTCTCCGTCACTGTGAATCACTTACTTTAAACTTGATCTCTACTGATGGGGTTGGCAGGTACAGTGAGACAATACTTCAAGGGACTAATACCCAGGACGCAGAAGACATCATTCGGCGCTATTGCCCATGTGCAAAGTAAACGCCATTACCTGGCTTGGGAAAGGGTTCGAAAGACATTCCTCTATCGTGGAAACTGCTGGCACTGCGTTTTCGCACACTATTCTACCACAATTCTCAATTTGCCAGACATTACGACCATCGGTCTTGACGGACAGATGTCAGGGCATACAGGACATCCACACACTCTATCCTTGCATCTCGCCTCATCTTTCGTTCCGCAGGGGGAAGCATGACTGGGAACAAATCTTCAGCTGAAACCCTCTACGCTGCATTTTACTAGTCCTCTCTCCATACTCAGAAGACAATTACTTCATTATATCATTATTATCTGGAGCAGCAAGCCACCATTTCGTCCGCCACGATCCCTTCATCGCCCAGCGACCCAACACCCTGTCGAGACCCTCTCGCCCTTGCGACTATCCAAGAAAATCCATCAAGCTCGATTTGATTCTATCCACCAAGATTCAATTATGAGCATAGAAAGTGACCTAGGGTCCTGCTACGAAAACCCCCTCGTCCAAGTTAGGAAGAAAGAATGTCTGCACGTGTTGTACACGTCCACAATGCTTGGGGCACCAGAACTCCCGGTTTTGCCATCGCAACGAACCTTCTCCACTCTCAGTGTTAGAGGACCATTGATTTTTGGGTCTGAGTCCTCTTTTCAAGTTCCAGTTCCTACGCTTCGGTTCGCGCGGATCATCATACGTTCCACGGTTGCGATCGTTTGCCCTTAGGGTTAGCCTCGTAAGACCAATCTCTCCAGGTGTTTAACTAGCCAGTGGTGGAACTGTCACAGTTCACTCAAATTTATAGTCAGTGTGTCTCAGCTCTCTATTGATGTGCTTGTGAGCAATTAACCGAGCCATGATAAATGAACAACTACTACTTTCAGCCTTGACGAATGCTCAATTTCCTCTCCTACTTTTGCTTGCCTTTACCCTCGGCTTTCTGGACGAGGTGATCCTCCGCACCGCCCTCCTCGTCGTCGGAAATGAGCCCAGCTTCGAATCGAAATGCCATAGTGGTGGACAAATCCTCCGCAAAGGTAGACAGGGGATCAGGATCATGTTTCAAATCCCAAAACTTTCTAGCCTCCTCCTCGGTGAGAAAGCCAACTTGTCTTGAGAGTTTAAAGAGTGTCGATTGCTTCAAATATCGTCCGGGACTAGCCCAGAGGGCTTTTGCTGCATCATGAATTCTAGATCGATCTCCAGAAGAGCCGGGAACATTGCCGCGCTGACGTCGAAGGATGGACATCAGAAATTTGTAGTAAAGGTACCGTCGTGATGGTCCGTTCCCTTTGAGGAATTTCAGTTGGGTTCCATCTAAGGATTCACCCCAAATGATCTTTCCTCGAGGATCTTCTTTTCGCAAATCATCATCGAGGACAATGACTTCCAGGTCGGCAGCATTTATTCTTGATGGCACGATGGCAATTCTTGCGCTGTCGAATGCTTCTTCGTATTCGGCAAGCATCATTATGCCATTACTTGCGTTCCATATATGGCCACCTGGCCGACGGTCGAAAATCGCTTCTGATGCGACTTCTCCCACGTTAGCCTTAACAACGTGGGAAGCTTTCAGAGATGAAGGCGGCCAAAATTGTTTCGATACCGGGCACCGCAACTGGTACCCATCAGCGGCCGTGGATCCCTGCGCGGTGATCACTGCCTTCCTGAACCTCGCTCTTTGATCTTCTGTGACCTCAGACTTGATGGTAGCGGTAGCTCCATAAGGAGCATGATGCTTCCACAACAAACCGTCAATGTAGGCCCAGTCCAACTTCCTTTCTCTCTCCACTTGCTCGGGAAACAAAGCTTCATCCGTCAACTGACCAATCAATTGGTGGCGTGAAGATCGTAGAGTGGCGAGTCTCATCAGGTCGTGGTTGATTTGCTGCTGGCAGATGTCCAAAGCGTTGCGGAATTCGTTGCGGTCGGAAATGTCCCCATCCTGCCACATCTTTTCGAGAATTGCGCGCTGCTCTTTGGCAGCTTGAAGCTCGGCTTCTTTTGCTTTGAGGAAAGCTTCAAACACCTCTTCAGAAGCTTCTCCCCGAATACGCTTGTCGTCATGTTCGCTCGTGATGCTTGCAGCTGACAATTCCGAGAAGTTTCTCTTCTTCACGATTGTATCAAAATCTTGCCTCGTTTTCTTGACCTTAAGTTCCGCTGTTTCAAGATTGTACTTGTGAGCAGGGCTCACAAATCTCTTGATGGCATGGGGAAGAAATGTAGGACTATTGTCGGGCATTTGCGGACTTTCAATTGGCGATGACGCAGTAGGGAGACTTCGCTCGTCCTTCTGGGGTGTTTGCGTCTTACTCGACGAGGAGTCGGAAGTTTTGTTTCTGTCTGTGCGACCCATTTCGAACATTGAGACGTCTGTGACTGTGAAATTATTGTTCGAGGACAATGCAGAGATCTTGGGAGGTTATGATGGGGAGCGAGAATGTATGAGAAGCAGAAGACACAATCTTTTTGTACACGAAAGCTCATCCACCGGAGATGCCATGAGTCAAATTTTATTTACAAGTAACTAAAGCCAACAAGTGATGAACCCTGGTTGGCACGGTCACCTTGAGAGTCTTCGGTGTCTCTTTAGGTTGTGCGCATGAAGGTCCAAACTTTCAAATCGTTGGTTACCATGGCGCTGATCCATGCGTAGCAGCCAAACACGGCAATCATCTCGTAATTTGCGGGCTTTTGCACTGCATGCCCGAACCCTTGTGGCGTGTCAGGGATTACAACCCCCAAAAGGTGCCCAAAGAGGTTTTTCTGAGACTTATCCAGGTCCACTAAATAATGTCTCCGTCAGACATCGGACAGTCAAAAGGGTACGCCAGCAGGCCGTAACCTGGATGAACACACAGTTGAAATGCAGCCGTACTATCTATCGACCCATACCCAGTGGCACCAAACCTTTCATATGGTCCATGGAGCTGGGAAGTCTGACACCTCATAATGCTCATACTGAGACTTTGCCCAGCCTGCTTGATTCGCCTCCTCAGAATAGTTTCCCTTTATGTCAAGAAGAGCATGGTATTTGCAGTAGCTCCTAATCTTGACTTCCGTGAATAACTCACGGCTATTGTCAGAGCATCAGAGATAAGGGTCCAGCGGCTCACCTGGGCGAACGAGCCCCCTGGAAGAACAGTGCTGCTGGTATCGGCAATCGCCCTTGATAAACCAGATTTTTCGATCAACTTAGATTCTGCAAAAATAAATAGTCTATCATCTAATGCACCGGGGCCCAAAAGACAGATCAGTGTCTCAAAATCAAAATTTGACCCCAGCCGTGGAAAGTTACATGCTGTTTTGAAACCTTTGTTTTGTACGTGGTCTGACGGCTATCACTCTTGGACAAGCTGTTGCTGGCTACATCGGACGGACACTTCACATAACTTTGCTCCCTCACAAGCTTGAAGCCGACATCAATGGGGCCCATCAGTGACAATTGACTTCCACGCCCAGCCACCGTCTGATACCATTTGGACCCCGTTCTTGCAGCCGTCAAAAGTCAACCACTGCACAGTCAAGAGCTCAACAACACTGCCCCTGAAAGTGACATCGGATATCATAAGGCTGCTGTCGTTCTCGGCAAAGATCCCAAACTCCCTGTTGCCTGGAGAACAACTGATTTGACGTTCTGCAAGCTGGTGGCTTGGGCAACCTCAAAGTTCAGATCAGCAACCTCCTTGTCGGAACGGGTCTGGGTGATGTCAATCTGAACATTTCTGACCTGATGATGGAAGTTTACCATGCCCCCATGCCATTCTTGAGCCCTCTAATCTATGCTATTGTCGCTGTTGGTGTGTTTCTTCGCAAAGAAGACGCTTGATTAGTCCAACAAAACTCTCAGAAGCCATGGCGATATGACTGTCATTCGCGTCACCGGCTGACTTATGACGGGCGTGGTGTGTGAAGTGAAGACGTAGTAGATCGCTGGATGGAAGTAGACGATAGCTGTTTTGGCTGTGGATTGAAAGTACCATTACAAATACCTGTTACCGTCGCTCGTGGCTGCCTTGATGGCCTGGGTATCGTCAATGACACTGTCACCCGCGGCACCGCAGTCGAGAACTTTTCGAAATACTGGTGGCACTCGTCATGCACTCCGTCCAGATAGGATATGTAGATTCGCTCACCTTTGCACGAGTGGTTATCGCTCCAAGGAACGACTCCTTCACAATTGAGATATTATATCCAGTAAGCTTCCCGTCCGCTGGCGCCCATCTATCTCCACGTCAACACCTTGCCGTCAGACGATTTCATGACCTCAGGTTTGGAGACCAGGGCTGCATGCAGCTTCAGGTATTGCACCCAGTGAATGGGAGCTTTCTGGAAGGACAGAGCTTTGCGCTCCTCGGCTTTGAAACCAAGCGACTAGCGACTCCTGCGAAGTGAGTGATTCTCCGTGCTAGTACTAGACATTGGGAAATGCCTTAGTGGAGATCGTGCTAGACAGTCTCTTTTGAGCTTGGGCGCTCGGCTGATATGGGGATAGCGCAATATACTCATAGAGAAGGCAGAGCTGATGGTTTTCAATTTTTCGTTGCTGGCAAAACGAAGCTATCGTCACCCACCAACAACCAGGACAGAGGCAAAAAGGTCAAAAAGACATACAACACCGGGCATTCGCCTGCGTTTTTGATAATCTTTCCGACACACTCAAGCTTATCCCATCGACTGCTACATGACGCCAGTACATTGAGTACCTAGAATTTATCTAATTCTGGTCTCAGTGAATTTTCTGCTTCGCTCAAAAAAGTATCGATCGATTAGAATAAGACTTATTTCGCGGTACCCCGCACACGTATGTGCTAACGTTATGCAGCAGTCGATGGGATACGTCGTTGCCCATTTGAGCCGAGGGGCGACTTGGTGACCAGGAGAACTCTTCATGGCGTGTCTGCGTCTGATATGAATCACGATGAGAGGAGTCTTTCCAAGACTGTGCACGGGAATTTTGACTTCGTCCCTAAGTGCGTCCAGGCTCACATTATCGAAGTCATTCGTATCACGTAATATTAGCTCTCACGCCATGCCATTGATAATGTTCTGCGTTGGATTTTCTATTTATGGAGTGATAAGCAAGACTGGAATGTTCGGTTCTAAAGCCTGCCGCTAAAAGCCCAGATCACCAATGGAGCGAGCCGAAGCTGCTCGGAGGAGATGCCCGGCGCTGGGTCTGAGTAATATCAGTCTGTTTCTGACCCGTTCTGTAAGATGGTCGAACGAAACAAATCTGGCGGGAATGCTGTTGGCTTGAATGACAACGCTGAAGCCAAAGAATTAGACGCTGTCACGAGAGTCGACCAATATAAGGTGGTTGTAGGGGGCTGCCTGATGTCTCTGGATAAGCCGCTACAACTCCTGGCGCAGGGGTCTGTGGCGTCGCTTGCCAGTTCTCGTCTGCCTTACCCCCCGCTGCACAGTTGTGAAGGATCTGTCAATTGGGCGCCTGAGGATATTGTTGCCACCTTCGACCCACCTCGTCAGGGGAAACTCATCGCGGGTGAACTTGATTTTAGAGAAGGCGAGAATGTGATGCCTCGAGGTTCCCGACTTAATTAAGTCTGGTGCTGGGCTCGAGGTCTCTGTACAGCCGCGCCCATCGGCTCGCATGACGATATGTTGTTCTGGGGACTGCATCCCTGGACACATTTGCCGGTTCTTCCGCACATGTGCCAGTTCCCACACATGTGCCAGTTCTTCCACACAACAAGCGCCAGCCGTAGAGAACACGGGCGTAACTAGAGCTGACTGTTTCTAGACCTTGACGAGCGCGGGGTGCTGAAATAATAGTCGAATATGTGATCAGGGATCTTAATCTATCGATTTGCTTGTTGCCGCCGGGGACAGTTGCAGTTGTGGTAGTAGGGTAAGTTTGGCACACGTCCCACATATAGCAGAATTTCTATTCCAGATACACAAGCTTGGAACACAGATTCATCAGTTGCTTTGGAATATTGAGAGAGTCAATATATAGGACGCTTCAGGCAGAAAAGCCTCCTTTCCCATTTTGCACACTAGCCTAAATTTACGTCTGAGCCAGTACCTGAACCTGATGAAGATAGAAAACTTTTGGAACGCCAGGGAGACAAGACGATTTATGGTCATGACTGGCTGCAAGCGATTTCCGTAAATACACAACTGCCGAGCATCCAATCTGGTGTACGAGGCAGTAAGAAAAGACGAAGCCACAGAATCTACCGTCTGATTTTGCTAGTCGGACAATGCCTCAGTTGACGATCGATGATCGAGGTTGTAATCTTCAGAAAAAATAGGACGAAGTGATGATAGTTTTGTCCCCCTTTATTGGCGAAAGTGGGCTTGCGAATGACAAGGTACATTCCTCTGTGCGTGTCCAACTAATCAAGTCATAATAATACCCCCACAGTGTGATTGAAAGCTTTGGTAGCTCCTCGCATAGTAAGAGACTTCTTGTGTTGAAGGTGATGAAATGAGATTAATTCATTAGGTAAGAAATATTTGAGGGGATGCTCATATCTCAGCTTGGCTACTGTTAATGTCAGATTTACGTAGCACTAGGGGGTGTCAATATCTCTACCTGCCGTCTACACATGTATGAGTATATAGTTCATAGACACGATATTAAGAACAATGCAAGGCATCCATGTAGGTCAAATTATTGCCAAGCTCGTTCAAAAAGGTACGTTTCCCGAATGCCTGAGGTCTTTCATGGCCTGAAACGTCTCAGCCTGCTGCAGTTTGATGCTCCTGGTTGAGGGGCACATACAGTTTCCAAAAGCTTTCACTTTCACCATTCTATTATCACTCAATCCCCAAATTTCCAGTACATCTGCATTGCATCTCAATCAAACACATCACCAGTCCACTCAGATTCTCATAATCCTTTCTAATGCCGTGTTTCTTGTCATTTCCCTTGTGCTCACCGGCTCTGCTGACGCCGACGACTGCCAACCCAGAACGAAATTGACTGAATTGGGCGCAAGGCAAACCCTTCCAACCTATTGATTTGTCCCTAGCGTAAAGCGTACGTCTGTCATTGATTTGGGCAAGATCAACTGCCGTAGCTTTGCAAACATATGCTCGCGGCGACTACTACATGCGACAGACATGGAATACGGTCGACGCCTTGTTCAAGCTAAACCTATCTGTAGACGCGGACTGGGAGGATATCCAGCCGAATACTGGATCCTGCGGCGATTGCAGTCCTTGTTCTGTGAGACATAATGGCCAATGGCACCATTGAGAGTTATCGAGCCT